AGGAAATACTCACCAAAAGTTTACTTCAAATTACATTCTGGACTAATCTCTACAAGGTGATGCAAATTGAAAAAACTGAAACAGTAATGTAACACTGGGAAAGATGGACCTCTATTAATGAAAAAAGTTAATAATGTGCATGGGTATCTACAACAAAAAGTCAATCAGAAAAATAAACACAAGAGCTAATTAACATGTGTTTCGCTTTCATGACTGTTTAAACTGTTCCAGACAGCTATGCTATTTGGGTGGGGTTTTAAGAAAATAAGTTGCAAGGACAACTTTTTGCATGCTAATCAACTTTAATACTAGCAGACTATTGCTATTCACAAAAAGAAAATAAACATGCTTAATTTTCAAAATAAAAATAGCAATTGATTTATTAGGAAAACATCCAGCCGTTGCCCTAGGATAGCTCATAGTAATTAAACTGTATTGTCACATAGATCACTTCACTGCACCCTCCAATAATAAATATTGACTAATTAACAAACTCCTCTGACTGCATGCACATTAAATAGTGATATTTTCAAAGGCAGCAGCAGAAGTTTGGAATGGCTGCTCTTTGAGAGGTACAAAGAGTGCACAGTGAAGGACCTCACTCCTTAACAATCTCTCTTTACAGACCCATTTGAGTACATACACCCTGGCAGACCCACACAAGTGCCTGACACATGCCCAACTGTGGAGGAAAGGATTTTAAAACTCCAAATTTGTCACTAGAGGAAGCATAGTATTCTTACCAAGTAACAGCATCCATAAAGTTTATGGATTAATTTTTCTCTTTTCTATAGGAAAGTGCATTTTTTACACACTTCCACTGCTGTCTTTTAATGGAGTTGGGTTTTTTAACCATTCTGCAAATTGTTACTGCACTGAATGTAAATACGTGTTTATTTTCTTACATTCCTAATGTTTTTAACTAATAATTTCTCTCTTTAATTTTTACTCTGACACCTTGAGGTTTACAACATCATTTACACAGTCAGATGTTCTGATCATCTCTGCATTTTTTCATACGCAGACCAATGCACAAGCCACAACCTCTCTTAAGTAACCTATAATACGATTTTCTTTCTTAAAGAGACTGACATATTTTGCAGTCCATTGGCTTAGGATTTAGAAACCCTGACGCACATGCCATGCTCCCTGAATTTCAAAAGTACACCTAATTTCACAAATGGCACAATCATAAATAACACATCACTTCTGAGAGTGCCCATGTGTACTCCATTTGGCAGCTTCTTGTTCTTCCTTTTGGGGCACCCAAACAAAAAGAGTCCAAGTGATTTCTCACCTGTAAAAACTGGGAAAAATACATAAGAGACGAAAGAAAAAGAAAAGCAACCAAATTTGTGCTTTTAACTCAGCAAAAGAGTAATTTCAAGACAACTGGAGCTAAGGTTTAACAGGTTCAAAATGAAGTGAAAATTGTACTCTATTCACTGCAGGAAATGTAAGGAAGGAAATAAGCAAAGGCCATGAAAAGGAAGTGAAGGCAAGAAAGGAAATAATAAGGTAATGAAGAAAGAGTGCTACAGAATAGAATTTAAACCAAGCAGACCAAAGTCCTGACATACACATTGCTCATAAAGGACTACAAAGTCCTGAGAAATTGTTCTCAGAAACATTGTCTGTGTCAGAGAAGTCAAATTATTACAATGCCACCTCTCAGCCTGTTTTTGAAGTAATTGGCGTTCTTCAGCCAGGAAGATGGGGGTATCTGGAGTAACTACTGAGAAAAGCTTGTACCCAGACCAAACTGGTAATTCTCACTATCTTACACTGTCTGTGTTACATGTGTTTTGGAAATTATTCCCCATATTGTTTAGATATAGCTACCTGCTTCTTGTTCAGCTTTCATCATAGAAATCAAATTAAACAAAACAAAAATTATTTATTAAAACCAAACAAAACAAAAGGATATTACACAGTCCATGTTCCAATGACCAAAAATAAATTAAAAAGCCACCATTAGGTCATTCCAGCAGCAAGTCCAACCACTGCCTTCTTTCTAGCATTACATAGTGCCATCAAAACTTCTTGTCAAGACACAACAATAAGTACCTTGAGCTCAGAATTTATGTCTGGTTTGGTTACTTTTATTCTAAAGTCTTTATCTCTTGTTTTCAGATGCATATTATGTTTAACTCATTTGTAATTCTTGAGCAACATAATGGTACACAAAACCCTTGAGGGGCTAACTTCCAACTGACATTCAGAGAGGTAGTAAAGAAAGCAAATCAGGAACACACCCAAGGTATGTGCTTCAGGGAACACTTATTCAACCAAATTTTTTAAGGTATTACATAAATGGAACAAACGACATTTGTATGAAATAGAGATTTTTCTGGACACTACTAGGAAAATACTGTAGATTAAAGGAGTCTGAAGTATTACCAAGGCTAGAACTCAAAGTATCTCTTTTATTATTTTTTTTCTTATTTTAATCTATTTGTTGTTATTTTTATCTACAAATACTACAGAGATATTTATAAAAAAGTGATGAAACAAAAATCAAACAATGTCAAACAACGTCAAACAATGTCAAACAACAGATATGCTTACTAACCAATTAGATAGAAATAAAAAAGAGTAAGTTTTTGTATGTACTTACATATTTAAAATGTTGCAATAGATTCCTTACAGAATAAAAAAAATTAATAGAAAACTCAGAGTGAAAGAACCTCTCTTTCACACTACATTGATTTGCCAAGTATCATAAGACACCTTTAGGTAAAAGTAGCATACTGTTTTTTCTGAGCAGTGCTGGTTTGAGGACAGACCCCATTCCTGTACCACAGAGTCTCTGCAGCTGGTTTCTAACTGCAGCAAAATCTTTGGAAACTATGTGGAAAAAAGGAATGCATGGTCATACTGGTAGTGAGCTGCTTAAATATGTTATATTTAAATAGTATAAGTTACTTAAATATCCATATGCATGTGAAGTAGAACTACTTGTGCATAGCTTTAGTTAAATCAGTAAGGAACTAACAAATAGTGGCACAAGAACACTCATTGCTATTAAAAGATTTATTCAGAAACTAAATAAAAGCATCATCATATAGACAATACTAACTTAGAAGTGGTGGCAAACTGTATAACACACTCTGATTAAGTGTTCACTCTCAGTTTGTTACATTTCCACAGACACACGAGCCATCCAATTTTCTTGACACCTATTTTTAATAAAAAATTAGTTGCAGGTACTTGTAGATATCACTTTTTGCATTCAGTACATCCAAATATTTATATGACAAACACCTGTATCTAATCAGGAAACAAAGCTACTACACAGTGCACCCTGAAAAAGTTAATTTACTCTAATTCCTACTATAAACACTGAGGAGAAAAACCACAGCAAATTAATTAAATTACTTTAAAACTAGTAATTCCAAATTTTAAAATGTGCAAGAGGAAATTACAATGATCATACCTATCTTATGAGCAGAAAAGACATCTCAGCTATATAAGTCATTTGCTCACTCTTTTCTGATAAATATTCATAATAATTCACATTTGTTTTTTCATCACAGACATAATCAGAAGACTGTATAAGTTGTTTCCCTGCCATCACTAATTTTATGTTTTACAGAATAGATTTTCAAGATGTGGTATGAAAAGGACACAGATTACAGAATAACCTATTGGAAAATCCTTCATACCAGTGCATTAAAAAAACATTGTTTTTTAATGCAAATAATTGGTTTTAAATTCAAATAAGAGCAAAAGTTGCTCTTATTTTTGTTCCCTTGGTAAAGACAACAGTTTTTCAACTTCTATTTATCACACTGGTCAACAACTGTATTTACATATTATCCAGTTTGCTGAGCAATATCACAACACTGTAGTATTAAAATTACACGTTTGCTAAAATATTTTTCTGAACAATGTACCAACTGCAAATTAGAAACATCCCTACTTGCTCAGTAAAAGGAAGCTCAATAGCTTTTGCAACACTTACAAAATTTCAACACATCAGAAAAATTTATTTACTGAAGGAACCATCTACAGATACCAATCAATTCTATAGGGCCAAAAGGCTAATAAGCTTTTCCGTCTGATGTAAGTGCACTCCCTAAATGAGTATCATCTAAACATAAAACTCCAATTCTTCCAATGACTGCTTTGTATCTAAAAATATCACTGCTGAATGCTGCAATTACTTTTCTCAGCTGGAGACATCTTTCTACATTATTTTCTTGAATGCATAAGATCCAGACTCAACAGTGTGCTAATCAACTGCACTGAACTGCAAATGTGATCTAATTAACTGGAAACCACTCAGATTTGATTGGTAGGGGTTTTTTGATTTACTTTTAAATCCAAGCATATCTTAATCACCTTGTCTGACCTCCATGGAAAACAGTAATGAAAAAGGACAAGATATTCAGAGAGAAAAAAACCCAACCCCATAATTATGAGATATGCTTAGGCCCTGACAACATGTACTTACTCTCAAAATAGCATGTTTGCCCAGTAATTTCTTATGGATTCTGACATAAGTACGTCTAGTCATAAAACTGCTCAATGGCAAGAATCACCTACAGTGTGTATTTTGGTCATACAGCCCTAAACATTTGAACCGTGCCTTACAGTTAGTTAGTGATGGACTGGAGAAGCAGCTCCTTGCCCTCAATTTAGTTTGGTGAAAAAAACAATTCTGAGACTCCCAAAAAGCTTGGAAAGGTCATGGGACATTATATGTGGGCTTATTCGAGTTGGGTGTGTTCTTTATCATTAGGGCAGGTTAGGAAAGATGTATGCATCAGAAAATAATCTCCCTTCTTGGACTAGCAACATCTGCTAGGCCAAGTCTCCTTCTGTGCCTCCTCTAAAATTCTTAACATTTAACAGATCTTGTAGGAAAGGAAAATGAACAGAACAAGTCACCTCATGACTAATCTTGTCACTGTTTTTTTCCTGTTGCCTATGAAAAGTATTCATTACAATATATAAGCTACTAAACTGAACATATGCCGTATCTCTTTTTTACTCACCTACGCAGTTATCACAAAGGCTGCAATGTGAGGCACGAGGTGGGCGGAAAATCTTGCAAGTAAAACAATATTTTAGTTTCACTGTCTGTCCATTGATGATCACTTCTTTTGTTCTGGGAGGGGGACGATATCCTCCTGAACTGCAGCCATTTGCTATATCTAAGCAGGAAAATACAAGACATGAAATGTTGCATGTGAGCTATGATGTATGCACAAAACTGTCCTTAATGGCAATCTATAGCAAAATTCAAATTCATATTTGCGCATTTAAAATAAACAAATTTCCCCTTCTAATTCTCGAGTAATAAGCAGCAAAGAGACATTTCACTGTAAATAGCATCCAAAGCCAATTAATGTGAATCAAAGAAACCATCCAAACCCAATTCTCAAATGCTGACAATGACCTTGATCCCAAAATTCTTAGTTTCATACCCCCAATAGTCCTTAGATAACATATTAAAGACAATGATAACTATTTGCGCACAACAGCAAAACTTGGAAGTTACCTTTAGACTATTCCTAATTTTTTCAGAATTCCTGCAATAACAAAACATCTCCCTAGAAATGCTGCAGAAATTCTACAGCCTAGAAGGGAATCTGCACATTTACTTAAACAACAGTATCTCTGTCATCTGAGCCTGCTGAATGATGAGATCTCCTGCATGCTGTGATACAACAAAGCACATTCACCAAAGTATCTTACAGCTTTTGCTGTTTAGAAGTTTGAACGCCCAACTCCCAGTGTTACTTCTACACACCTTGAAGTTTGTCTGTGGCACAAAACTGGGTTCCAACTACCTTGTTTGATACAAGTAGTAGAGTTTTGGGTTTTGTTTCTAAGCTTCCTTTTGTTTTATTTTAGGATATTATCAGTAATTTTTCCAGGATCTAAAGGAGTGATTACGCTAATAAAGTTCAATTTTGCCCAAGCTGAGCTTTACTCTGAAACTTCAACATGTAGAAGTGGTGCCTTTTTCTAGGTTTATCTGTTCTTCTGTAATCACAATCAAGTCAAACCACAGAAGTGGAAAAGGAACCCCTAAATTTATAACACTTGGAAAACAGATCAGCTAAGACAACAGGGAAGTAAAATAAAATATTTTTCCAATATATGAATGAAAATATATTTCAAAGTCACAGTCAAGTCACTGCAACAACTGTGTCTTAAGTTGTCCCACTTTCACGTGGGGCTTGTTACTAAAAAAACTATTACTTTATTTGAGCTCAAATTGTTAGAAATATCACCCACAATTTTGATTTCTGCCAATTACACAGCCTACAAATGATGTATTTTCCGAAAGGTCAACAAGAAAGTCTCCCACCTAGCAAGGCATTCACACTGGCAACAGCACAGCTGTTCTAGCAAAGGTGCAATTATACAACTTGCTGATTTGGCAGCAAATCCAACTTAAGGAGTTCTCATCTGCAAAGTGCTCACCCATAAATATGATCCATAAATATGCATCAATAAATAAAAGTCTTTGTCGGACACTACTGTAAACTTGACCATTAAAACAACCAGACTTCAGAAAACACTAATGGAAAAGAGGATGAAATGAAGGGAGCAATAGCTGAGATGGATGGAATCTGGGTATGAAGCTCCTAAGCATCCATTATGAGAACAAAGTGGTGAGTACTAAAAAAAAGCAGCATAAAAGGAGCCTCCTACAGCCTGATGAGGTAAAGACATTCACTTGTGTTGGATATAAAGCAACTCCTGAAATGTGCTTGTGATGCTTGGCCAGGTCGTACAACCTGCATGTGGAAACACAGATTGTTGTATGGTTCCCACAACTAGCAGTTATACTGATTTTGACCTCAAGACCAATACTACTTGACAAATATTTCTGAGTAAGTAATGCTACCAGTGTATTTCAGAGTATAAGCTGAAAATATGTTCTTTGGAAGATGCAGCATAACTCTGCTTATAGTATTTAATGCTTTAGAGAGACATGGACATTACCTAAATCCAGAAGATAGGGAAGAAGTTCTTCTAATTCATTTTACATTAAGAAAGTTTCTGGTGACATTATAACGAATTGGCTTGTGATAATCACAGTCCTAGAAATCTCTGGGCATTACAAAACACAATGTTAAATCCATTTCTGACCATATTTTGGGCAAGATAAGACTTAAACTGTGAACATAAATATAGGTCATTAGCCCTAAATTTTTTTTTTAGTGAATAATTTTTTTAAATTGAATTATTTAACAAATGCTGGCATGGCACATTCATCATACTTTCATTTCAAATACTTTCATTTGATACTCAAATTTAGGGGCATAATTATAAAAAAATACTACTAAAGCCTGAATTTCATCTAGGTGTAGCTTTGTATGCTAGAAATACTGATACTAATATTTCAGATTTTTTTCTTTTACAAAATCTTATTATTCTTGAGTATGTACATAATAATTGAAAGAAAATTACTTAAACCAGTCAAGGAGAACTGTTTAGAGGGAAAATGCTCTTTTTCCTAGATAACAATTTCATCTAGGTGTAGCTTTGTATGCTAGAAATACTGATACTAATATTTCAGATTTTTTTCTTTTACAAAATCTTATTATTCTTGAGTATGTACATAATAATTGAAAGAAAATTATTAAACCAGTCAAGGAGAATTGTTAAGAGGGAAAATGCTCTTTTTCCTAGATAAACATTTATTTTGTAAAAGGCACATTGACTAAAGCCAGTACTTCCCCTCCCTTTCAGCACCACAATTATTTTAAATGGGCTGTGGCAGAATCTCAAATGCAACTTCTGTCTTCTTTGGTGGAGAAGTGAGACTAGTGTCCAGCCCATTTTATTTACAACACAAATCTTCTAAGAGGACTTCCTCCCAAACATTTGCAGGGAAGTTCACAGAGACAGTAAATCCTAGCTCTCCGAGGCAAATTCATCTTGAAATCCAAGGGTGAAAGCTCATGCAAATGAAATCAATGTAAACAGTCTTGCTGATTTTCCAAGGACTGAGAATTTTTCTCAAAATCCTAAATTGCATAATCAAACCTGAATGTTCCAGTCTTTCTGTTTACTAACATCTTTTTCCTGGAAACAAGCTGCAGAGCAAGGTCAAATGTGCTTGGATTTAATACAATTCATCTAACCTAAATGTGCTAAACATGTCCTGGTCTCACTGTGAATTTTCAGACTGTAGTTTGCCTTCAATTCAACTGCTCATACTTGGGGTCTAACAAAGTTAAATCTTCAATGTATGAGGTCTCTTTGAGGAACAGAAAGATTAACCTTTATGGAATCACCTTGCCCAAATAAACTGTGTTTGATCACTAGTACATTTCACTCATCCAACCTATTACCGATGTAGTAATGCAAGATCTTTCACAAAGAGGCTAAAATTTACCCAATGATGGGACTGCATCCATCCTCCCTGTTCTGACACATTCTGTAACTTCTCTGGCAGGGTTAACTGTTCATGCATTAGATGGGGCTCCACCGTTTTTATTACTATAATTACAAAAAACCCATGCAAGCAGTTCATGACCTTGCAGGACTGAGAGACCTGAACTGCTCCAAGAAAGATACTCTAAGTATTTAATGGAGATACAGCACAACCTAGCAACCTTCTAATGGGACAACAAACTTCGCTTAGATTTCTCAATTTATTACGCTACAAACAAATAAGCAGTGCTGACGAAAGACAGAATCTGCAAGTTTGTACACATATCACCAGGACTCTCCTGCTCAATTAAGAGTTGGATTTTTTGGCCACTGTTCCTAAGAACTTGAGACAAACAGCCTCTAGAAGGCAGCTCTACAGTGTCTCTATACAAGCTTCATAACCATAGCATGCAATGTTTGTTGACAACTTTAAAAGGACACAATTTCAATCTTCAAACAATATTAAATGAGAAGTCAGCAAACTGAAATAATTCTAATGTTTCCTGAGGACTAAATGAAAAGGTAATGGAAAGAATCTTTATGTATAACCCATAACATCTGAAAAACAACAGAAAAAATTCTAACCAAAACAAAACAAAGCCAACTAACAATGAAAATCTCTAAGAAATGTCTTCCTATGTGTTTAGCTGTTCAAATTTAAGGTATCTGTTTAACAACAGTGGGCTACAAGACAAAAGAGTAATTTATTTCTTGGAGGGAAGAGAACTTAAATAAAATGCTCTTGTTTCCAGACAGTAATCTCAGGGACAAACAATACTGGGAACGTGGTTTAGACTGAAACCAGCAGCTGCTAACTGCATTCTTCACATAGTTTTTCATCTGATAGCCATCAAGAGATACCGAACACATATTGCTCCTGAATTTAAGGACTTGCTGCCTTATTCTTTTCTTAAAAGTAGAGTTTCATGGTCTTCTTGAAGCCTAAAACTTCGTGTGAATGGTATGCTCGTTCCCAGAAACAGATATAATCTTTAGTGATTTTTTGAGGGAAAGAAGTATTGACAGGAAGAGCTTTCTAAGACTTACCTGACACACCAAGTAATTTCACTATATTTATTTTAAGAATGCTGTTTAAGGGTGCAGTATCAGGTACAACTACAAGCCTAGGAAGCTGATATCCCACCTTTGTAAAGAAAGCAAAACGTGATAACCACAAATGGTATGTATTTGTTCAGGCCATAGCCAGTTCTATTAAATGCCTGTGCTGTGGCACGGATTTAATTTTATAAGGCTATAATGAAATCCAATTGTGCATTTCAAAACAAAAGAAAGACAGGCAAAGAATTGTGAAGGAGTCTCAAATGTGGTCTTGAGCATAAATTAGACAGCCAATTTGCAGAGACAGTGTGCCAGTGTAGCTCATACATTGAGTTCAGGGCTTGGAAAACACAAAAGCAAGCAAGCAGAAGCTGTCCTGTGAACCGGCCTGGGCTAATTGTACGGATTAAATGAGGAAGATACCTGTAACTTATGACAGCCTGAAGAAAAATCCAAAGCATTTTAAGGCTGAAGGAATAAACTGCCATAAGCATCTTTTCAATTATCTGCATCACCTATCCAACGCAAACAAGATTGATACTGTGGAAGAATTGTTAAACTTGTATACATCAATTGGACAAATGCCTTACAAAACCCATTCTCCTAGACTGGGTTATCCTTCTAAGCCTTCATTTTCAGAAGTTCACAGTTTTTCCACTTCAAGTGACTTAACACTGACTTAACTCCAAGAAAGACATGTAACTTGTAGCAAAGAGGCTACAAAATAAGGCTGCTCTTAGTATTTGTGTTTCCATAAAAGAAAAAGCCCCACTCAAGATAATATTTTTATTGTGATTGCAGAAGCCATGCTTATATGCTTCATGACAATAATGTAATTACAACTAGGGTACCCCTGGAAAAATTACTTTTCAATTTCAAGGGAAGTTATAATTGAAGTAGAAATACTACATCAGTACATTTACTGTTGCATTTAAAGAAAAAAAATCCTGCTGCAGTTCAGAGAAATTATAGCACTTTCATAGTAAATAAAGTTTCCCTCAGTGATTTTACATTATATAAGCCTCATATATCTAGTTGCTTTTGTTCAATTACATTATATGAAAACCCCAGAAAAAGAGAGTATTTTAAGACTTTTGCCACTCCTCTTTCTTAGGCCAAATGCATGTATGGATTAAATATTCTTACAGGTCCTGTTTTCCAATCTTGTCTGTTTAGCTGCCTTTCTCTTGAGTTTTTACATGTATTGTAGAAAACCAGATAGTGAACTGAGCCCTCATCACCACTGGTTATCCCAGAATGTCCCTTCTTCTGGTTCATGTAACACTCTTCCTCTAACATGCCCCAAAAAGGATTTCTCCTTTTTGTCATATCACAGTGCTAACCCAATCTGTTTGGAAATAACACTCACGTCTCCTCTTCTTGCACCATTCACCACTTAGACCCCTTTCCATTAGTATTTGATTTCCACTTGTATTCATGCATTTTGCGGGTTTTCCCTAACGTTGCTCAAACTATTTAAAATACATTAAAAAAAAATCAAACCCAGTGATTGCATATTTCTCCATCTCAGCACCAACTTCAGAGTTAAGCAGATTCCTCATGAGCCCAGAATCAGTCTCTGAAAGGTCCTATTTGAGCACTTAGCATTTGCTGCTAGAGTGTCTTTTTGAAAAGATACTTACTGACTTTGTGGCAATTTAATCTAGAACTTCTTTCCAGAACTTATATAGAAAGAATCATATGCAGCACACCATCAAGAGCTTAATTAGAGTGAAAAATTAAGCACATCTTCTGCTTTCCCACCAAGACAGTTACTCTTCCAATGAAGGATATCAGATTGGTTACACTTGATTTTCTCTTGAAATTCTTTGTTGCTTTGTTTTGAGACTTAAACAGCCACAAGCCCCAACCCTTTGACAGTCCAAATTCTAATAATTTGATCATGTAGCATGTCTTTCCAGACAGACTTCTATTAAAGCAGAACACTAGATAAACCAATAAAGATACAGGATAGTAGATAACAGACTTTTAAACTACAACTGCTTTCTTTCTTCTCTTTCTATCAGCTATCAAGAAGCATACAAGTTATCTTCTGAGATCAAAGCGGTGTTGAATCCTACAGATTGTCCTCTGCTATTTCTCATTTTCCAATTACACAGCATGCCTTCAGCTTTTCTTTGTTCCCCTGACCTCTAATAGAACCTGTCCTGTTGTCTTCTACTGCTCCTTGCTGATTGTAACTGACTTTATTCTCCTTTTGCCTTTCCCAATACACTTGCGCCATCTTTTTACACTGATCTTTAAGAACTATCTCCACTTCTGACAACAGTGTATTTTTGACTACAAATACAGTCCAAATGGCCTCTTACTTATCACACTTCCTAACTTCCTCTATATGAGGACAGCTTGATGATCTGCATGAAATACAGTATTTTTTAATATCAAAAGTTCCTTTTGTTTTTTTGACTTCTTTTTTTTCAGTTCTTTTCACTTTTTGTTTACCTATGAACACAGCAAATTCTCAAGAAATAACTGCTTTCCATTCCTGTACACAGGGGGGGAGAAATAGCAGCATCACATCTCTGTTAGTCCCCCATTCTTCACCTGAAGAAGGCTGATAGCCTAGGTAGAAACGTTTTTTGCCTCTTAATATGAGCAACCTGTTCCCAGAAAGTCACCTGAAAGGACAAAGTACTGTCAGCTTCTTTAGAAGGTCTTATTTTGAGAACCATTCTTCCTAATCAGCTCATCCTATTCTATGCTTTCTAATGTAAAAAAATAAAGTTTGATACATTTCAAGAGAACTTCAAAATATCATTCTTAAATCACAATTCCTTATCTTGGAATTCTCAGAGCTCTCAGAGTATCTGTAATAATTTCTGGTAGACTGCTTCCCAAAAAGACCAGTAGGGCAGGGTAAAACTCAAGTATCTAAGAATGATTTTAATAAAGTAAAAGCTACAGATAGGAGAGGATACATTAATATATTTTAGCAAAGAAACTATTTGGTAAAGGCATTATTTTTAGTTATCTGAAGAACTTCCTTGTCTAAAATAAATTACTGCTAACATTGCACCCCATTTTTAGAAGACACCTCAAGTGGAAAGGTACAGCAAGTTATAAGGCAATCCAGCCTGCATGATAGTTTTGGAAAATCTAGTTTTCAACTGCAGGAGCCATTCAGCTTTTCCTGCTGCACAGATACCACTCCACTAGGATACCTTTCACAGGCACATGAAAAAACCATACTATAACAGCACAAAAATGTTTCTTTCCACTTTCATTGTTGAATCCAGACTCACAATTTTAGGGCAGAGTGATTTCTTATAGCTACCTAGCTTGTTCCTCTATTACACTTGCCAAAAGCCCTCATGCTTGGGAACTCCACATTTGCTGCCACTGTAATTCCTTGCTTCAATATTCCACTGGCCCTTCTTGGAAGAGTACTGCCTTTGCTACTGCTGAAGAAAAGACAATGGCTTTGGTCAGCTCAGCAGCCTCAACCTGTGAACAAGTATATAGTACCATTTAAAAAGAATTATAATTTGTAAACACAAGTTCTGAACTTGCTGCACACAGGAACATCTTGACTGTCCCCTCTAGTATATTCAATTTGTATTTTTAGTTTTGTATTTTGCCAAAACTCTGACAGATGACAACATAAAATTCTTGTTGTGAGCTGCTTATTTGAAATAATTTATTTCCTGACATAGATCAATGTTTCTGTGAACACAGGGCAAATAAGCAATTCCTTGAACAGGAACCTGTACCGGTATACTGTACTAAAGGTGGTACCTTATTCTAAGTAAAGAATTCCTTGAAGGAGATCAGTAAAAGTAAATCATAACACTGGTTACAAAAAGGTGCTAAATGAATGCTTAATTATATTTTTCCATATTTTTATGCACTTCTGAAATTCAGATAAATAGGAAACATTTTAATACTTCTATCATAAAAAGCCTAGGACTGCACTATGGTATTAAACATCAAGGATACTGCATGTCTCTAGACCTGTTACCTGTCTTCTCAATCACATGAGTGAGCATTTCTCTGAAACTGCATTAAAAAAATGAGACTTCTACTGACTATCACATCAAAGCAGATTTAGTAGCATTTAGTAAGGTTGTAAGCACACAAACCCACTATTTATGAAGCACCTCTGCAAACTTATCCTGCGTTCTCTTATCCAGGTGGCACATTTAGCTATTCAGCATATTTGTACCTGTAGAAGTCCCACTTACAGAATTTAGTTAACAGTGCTCTTGCTAAGCAAGTATGGTTAAAATCTAGCTCTATACTTTAATCATGCTAGCTTTACTAAAAAAAAGTAACATTTTTACTGCATATTAACAGAAAAACTTATCTGACTCTTTTGCAGTATAAATAACAATTAAATTCAGTTAAATTCTGAGAATACACTGTTTTAAAAATGCACAATCTTTTGCAATATCAGCTTTCTTGTCAAAAACACTTAAAATATATTCTCTAATGTATCAGAGAGAGATTTCTACCAGACTTGAGAAGTATTCACAGTAATAACTATCACTGTAAAATGCCAGGGTTTTGTTTACTTTCTTGGTAAAGAACTGATCATCTTTCCACAGGAATCACTGCAACATCAGACATTACAGGTCCAGAACAATCCCTGTGGCAAGGCAGGAGTGACTCCTCCCAGGAGCAGAGCAGCACACTGCCTTCACACAGCACATGCACCCTCGGGAGAGAGCGAGGAGACAACAGACCTTCGGTGTTACCTATTTGTCTCTCTAGATCTGCTGCTTCGTCTGGTGTTGCGCGGGGGAGGACACCAGGGTCACTGAAACTAGTACGCAGCAGGGTCCCCATCACGAAAAAGAAAAGAATCCCACCAATTGCAGGTATAGCAGGTGTAATCTTCTCTGACAAATACGGGCAACTGGAAAAAGAAAAAGAGTCAACAATCAACAACAAATAATGCAACTTGCTCTCAAAAACTCTTTGCCTCTATAAATGCATATGAAGAATTCACTTTCTTCTCTTGATGCATTATTTGCTTTGGAATGTTTATTGAAGCTGAAATTTCTGTTTATGTGTTCTGCAATTTTTCATAACATGTTCAATATAATAAAGGCACAAGTAGCATAATAATGACCTCACTATATGCAATACTCATTTACATAAGAAGATAAAATATTTTTATCAGAGCATTATAAGCTTATGTATTTCTTCACCTGCTGCCCCATTACATAAAAGTAAATTGGGCAGAGAGAGGAAAGGGAAAATAACATTAAGAAGCCCATAACATGAAGAAATAAGCCACACTGAAATACATAATTAAGTCTATAAAATGGATTTATCATCCACCAGAAAGTGGGTGCTCAACAACATGAAATGCATTCTTTTAACAGTCTTGGTGTATATCAATATTTTAACATCTCTACTGATTTTTGTTCTTAACCCATTTCTTGTAACGTAGTAAATTTGTTTATTCATTTACAAAGTAAGAATACAAATAACAGTTCAACAAACCTGGGAGCAAACAATCCAGGGGTATGTCTATGTCAACATCAACAGCCCATGACCAGGGCAAAAATGGCTCTATGTTTACCAGATTTACAATACACATGCAGAGTTTAAGGCTGGATTAAGCAAATTTAAGTTTAAGCAAATTTTCCCCTATGCTTCACATATGATTAAATCAAAATGGACAGAAACACTGGAATCCAACCAATACACAAAATAAGTATCTCTACAGCTCTGCAAAAAGAAGCGATATGAACACTTGGATATTACAGAAGCACTGCAGCCCCATCTTAGAAAACACACAGGCTGAAGACTCTCTTCATAGCTCTTATATTAAGTAGGTGTGGGTAGAATACCAAGATGGCTTCATGTACTTCTTATGCCTGTGCAAGAAGTCATAAAATAAGCCTAAAAACAGAAGTCAAAAATCAACAAGTCTAGGCCTTAGGGCTTTATCTAGCGTTTCTAGGTATTGATCAAGTTTAATTAACATTATCTCTCCTATTTCTGCTGACTGCCTTAAATGATGATTCAGACGTGCAAGCTTTGGCACTGCAAGTCAGTTAACCTCAGTGGAATGTTAACTCTAAGCAAGTGATGACAATGTCAGCTCCACTGTCCATCACTTCTGTAACAGGATGGGGAGAGAATGGAAACACTTTTCATACCAGCTGCCATGTACAGAGCATTTATCTCCCTGCATAACCCTATTAAAAATACATGGCTGCTTCACCAAACCTAGAGGGTTTCATGGATGCAGTGAGTCCATATGCACTACACGGTGTACACCATAACAAGTGGAAATCATCTCTCCCTACATTAATGCAATACCAGAGGTGCCACAAGTTACAAAAGATTAAAAAGACACCTGGGTATTAAAAATGGTGAGGCCCAAGAGACACTGGGCTTTCACATAACAAACAGACTGCTGAAATGCTAGGAAACATCTTTCAAATGTATGCTTTAATGAAAATCTTCAAAGACCCAGATTTATGATATCAGTGCTAGCTAAAGGAAGCAACAGCAAGATGTAAGCCTTGGTAGCTATAAGCCTTGCTCCTCTCATGTCAGGAGAAGCCAGTCAGAATGAACAGCCAAAGAGAAGCTTTCACATTGCATCAATGTCCTACTGCTCAATTTATTTCTCGCCACAAAGGACTACTGAAATCAAAACCACTGTAATGTGCTCAGAGAAGAGTACAAATAGGCTGCAAGAACATATTTTTAAAAGGATTAGAGGGAATGTGTACATTAATGAACACTAAATATAGCACAGTTCTCTCACTCTTCTATTGCATTATTCATTACACATAGCCAAGAAATTGCAATTGTGCTGAAGTCTGTTGACCAAACAAGAGCTGTATGTGTGTGAAAGGTAGCATGAGATAATCTCAGGGTAGCACAGTAGGCACAGTACAATTTCAACACTTGCCAACACAAAACCAGCAATGGCATTACATACACAAATTCTCACTGATACTCACAAGATGGAAACTAAGGGCAGGGCCATCATGAGTCTAACATGTTTCCTTTTAACAGTAATTTCAAATGAAATTGATAGAAAGAAAAAATTGATGTACTGAAATACTAATAAAGCCCAACATTGCTGAAAAGTGATGTTTTCAGTATAGTAAAAAAACATGGAAAAATCTGCCTCTGTCTTGCTGAACCAAGTCCACCTGCAGTGAAAAAATCCCCACCCTCAAAGCCCTGTATAATCTTCACAACAAGCAGGTGTGAGGTAATCTGCTTCGCCTAAAGTCACTTTCAAGGTTTAATAACATGTATTTTACCACCTTTGAATTGAAATTAATTCAGCAATAATGCAGAACAGACTGAAGATGGCATCTTTGGGAATAATAACCAAGTAATATTCCACCAATTAAAAAATTATTTCAAGCTGAGAAACCAGTTTCTTACAGCAGCTCCTTACAGAGATTCAGACAGTAAGTCTGGGCAGGACCATTTAATACAATCTGATTTATGTACAGACCATATAATATTACATGGGCTTGCAGAGAGCTCAATGACAACTCTCCTTTAAAAATATCCAATTAACTTTTGAAATACTTGTGAGATAAATCTAAAAAAACTAAACCAAACAAAAACCAGCAGATACCATTACACCTTTTTTCTTCACATTTTTTTAAAAAAAGAGGAAAAAAAAATCTTACTTCTCCTGAGTTATCAAAAAATCTATTAAATGTGCCTTCAAATTAAAAACGTGGATCTCAGCTGAAAATTGTGAAAAAATCTGTAGAAATACACTTGCATGCTTATGTAACAAATGTATTTGTACTGTTACATTAAGTCATTATTATTTCAAACACTTCTAGTGTTACTACTTTCAGAATTGTCAAATACTGAACAGAGAAACAGATTATCCCTCATGTTTGCTCAGTTTCCTTAATTAATTTAATTGAGGATGCATCCCTTCAGGCAGCAACTTCCCTCAGATATTACAAGAATTATCTTTTTTGAAGGGTATTTTCAGTATTTTTTTTTAAAAGCAAAGACTAGTGGGTATTTCCTGGCAGCAAATTTCAGAATTCTCCCTGCAGAGGGAATCCCTGTGCAGAGACCTGTCCTCTGCCAGTAACACTTTGATAAACAGCACAGAGCTCCAGGACAGATGTCTGTCCTACTGCAGAGCAAGCAGTGACAAACCTTTTCCAAGTGGCACTTGGTGACGATTAGATGTGAACTGACATCCTCAGTTTACATCTCAGACAGGGGAAAACAGTTGCTTTAAATCAGCATCTGTAAGGACAGCAAGCATTGACTAGGTCTATCCCAGAAAACACATTTTTAGAAAATATTACTAGACCACAGGCCCTATTAGAAACTGTTACTGTGAAAATAGCTTTTTCAAATAAGAGTGTTGGTTCCACATACAGAAAACTGTAACATAACTTGGAGTTTTGAATTAATTGATAAATTTGATACTTTTAGCCCTGCTTTTTGCTTGGCTTCTCAGCTGCTTTTTTGAAGTATCATGTGAGAGTCTGCATGAGTGTAGGAGGGAAATAAAATGTGGTGGAAGACTAGTCTGTCACAGCTCGATAAAAATAAAAACACCCTGGCACAGAAGAGATAATTATCAAGCATCACCCCTGTGAACAAAGGATGCAGGGGAAGTACAAAAGCAACTCTTACCACCCAGCAGCCCTCGTAACTGCGTAACCGTACTCCCTGTGGCTACTGAGATCAGCAGAAAAATACATCTAGAAACTGTGCTGAGAAGCACAGTCAGAGTCCTACAACTTTCAAGCATTGTCATTAGAAAAGAGGAGGAAAGAAAAGAAGTCTCCTGAAGGCTTTTCCTGGAAAGAGGATGACTTTCCTGGAAGGTTCACTGACAGTTATTCACTGATGGGGACATTCAGTAAATGACAAATCTATCCAGTAGAGGTATCTGAAGAGGGGCTGAGCCTGTATTTAAGAAGAAAACAAAAAAAAAAGAAAAAAACCAAAAAACCCAAGGCTTTATACACTGAAGATTTAAATTCATATTTGCTCAGTTGGCATGTAGAAAACAATAAAAGTACAAATTTAATGTGAAGATGAAACAGCTATCACACTTAATTACACTAATTTTAAAAAAAGCCCTGCAAGCTTGGCTTGCAAGACTGCTAAGAGAATACTCTATGTCAAGATGTTCATCAATATAAAACTATTTGTAGCAGTTATAAAATATATGTACTCTAGGAAAAATATAAATATAGTTGTGCGATGTAACAAAGAAATAAAATTGTTTCTTTTCCTACATCATCTTAATTTCTATTTCCTCATGTACTGCCTGTTTAATACACCAGTGGTTATTGGCATGCAGGTGATATCCAGCAGAAGGCACAAGGCTGGCACTGGGCACCCTGGGTTCAGTTCCACGTGTTACAAGTTAACATCTGAATGAGACAGGGCTGCTTTCTTTAAACTAGCCCAAGGGTTTTGTTGTTTCTCCTTCCACTCTCATTTATGGCTCTTCTCAGCCTACCCTTCCTTTCAATTCCACTGCATCATTGCTCCAAGCCACTGTCCCAAACTTCTGCCCTTATGCCAACACAAATCTTCATCAGGTTCTTTTGTGAGTGAAGTTAGTTTACTAAAATGTATGAAAATGACACCATTTAGTTGACTTCTCTTTCAGCTTTGGTTTGTCTAACAAACCAAACATGAACTTGAAAAGGCTATTAGCACAAAGCGAAGGAAAAAGAAGCACACACAAAAGTACAGGGAGAGGGAAATTTGGACAGTGGGAGGAGACCTCAGTTTCAGCAGCTGTCAGTAAGGTTTTCATTCAGACCACAGCCTCCTTTGAAACCATGTTCTAACCTTGACCTCTTCCAATTTAGAGATGGCAACAGAATATCCATATATAGACAGATTAAAGGCAAAGCAAGACTCTGGGCTAGC